AATTTTTCCAAATCAGCTATTTTGTTCTAGGTTGTTCACTTCTCCTTTCTTCTCCAAACCCTTCACCCTTTTGTGAATAACCCTGTTAGTGAATAATGCCATGTTGGAAGCCTTTAGTCAGCAGAGTGAAACATACATACTGACTGCTATGTCTATGGTAGCCTCCACATAACAGTGCTCCATTTACCAGGGTTCATCCAAGGCTGCACCTCGGATGATACTGAAATCTGTACTGACTTTAAGCCTATCTCTGGAGAAAAAAACCTCTTATTGCAGTTGGGCTACCCCCGCACTTCAAAGGTTAACTTGTAAAGTGTGTAAAGGGCATTTACCTACCTGATTCCCGCTTCCCAGTAGTTGGCGTCCTATGCTTTTGGACTATTCCTCGGCATCCTCGCTTATGATATAGGACTCTGAATCCTGCATTATATTGAGGGCATCAGTTGGACTCTGACCTCCAGAGCATGGGGTGGGTGGCAATAAGAGGCTGCAGCCACTGGACTTGGAGCACGCAGGAGTTGCAATCAGGTAAGTGAAAGACCCTTAGACACCCTTACACGGGTCCACTAGACATTAAAAAGTGGTTACCCTTGCAGTGCTGGGGTAGCCCTACTGCAATGGGAGTTTTTTTTTTCCTGGAAATGGGCTTTAAAGTTAATTTTCTGCAAGTATGAAGTAAAATCCTGTTGATCTTGATAATAATCCAGTCTCCTTCCAGTGTACTTAACTGAAATGTCAATGTTATAAGCTTTTTAAACTATCGCTTGTAAACTGTATAACCACTCCTCACTCCTATGTAATGAGATAAGGAGAGGCGTGTTTGTAGTCCACAATTAGGAAAGCAGCCTAGGGTGACAAAGCTTCTTCTTCATAGAGACAGTACAGTGAGTGCACGTTGCCATCCTAGGACAGGAAATGTGTTGCTGGCAGGGGGGGGGTTGGTGAACAAATGTTGTTCACCAACATCTAGGCCTGGTAAGCTGCATTATATAACATTTTTGGTTTTGGTTTTAGATACTCTTTAAGCCGTCAGCTCAAGTTGGCATTTTTCCACTGAACACACCTCAAATGGAACCCAAATTGTGCAAACTGCAACAACATTCAGAATGATGTCCATGTGTACAGACAGCTGCTGCTGCTTACAGGGTCAATGTTGCCAGTATGGCCTAGTGACTCAAAAGCTATGTTCACCTTAGTAATGGAGTACATAGCAGGCTTCAGGCAGAAGTGACCGCATTCTACTGCATGTGGTTAAGATTACAAGAGTGGAAACAAAGTTCAGTTTTATTTATCATAACATCAAAAACAATCAAGTGCAGTAACCCATAGAAACTAGATTCACCTTCATTATGCTAATTATGCTAAACTGCCATACGCTGGCTCCTTGTTGGATGCTATGTGTTCCTAAACATAATTGCAATATGCATCATGTTATTTAAGGGCCAATTAAAACTGATATGTGTTTGGTTATTTGCAGGAGGACTGGATCACCCAACAGCTCCATACATTTTCTCATATGCAGTAGTCCTCTAAGTATTTGGGTACCTAGATCTGCCCACCTGCCATAGCCATTACAAGGAAGTCTCACTATCCTTGTTTGACTGCCCATCAATGTTACAAAATGGATTCTGCAGCAGAAGTACTGAGATTTATCTTGCTGCTAGAGAGCAGATCTGAACGGGAATTTCCAGGTGGATGATCGGAAGATGAAGGCTGGAGTCTTCAAAAGACATAAGAAGCCAATGGGTCACTTTACCCAACAGTATTTGTCCATAAGCATGTTAGAAGAGCTAAGTGGAAGGTCCTCCATCCACCCTCTAAAGTCCTCTGTTTACTGTGCAGGAGGCACAAAACACTTACCTTGATTGGAGAAACTGCTACTTCAGGTTTCCATTGGAAGAGATGTGGCCAAATGCCTTGGTGTGTGATCTCTGCTGCAAAAGAAGATCAGAGTCTATACCAGCTAACACCCTCATTCAGGATAGATCACCTGATCAAATGCCCCCATTGGATCCCATATCAGTGGATTATCCAATCAAGATTAGCATTTCAGCGGCTCAGTCAACATATTTAATTTTAAAGAAGGCAGGATAGATGGGATAGCTGGGGAACTTGTTTTAATATGTCCATTTTTAATCCTTTGAAGCCTGTTGTGTAATAGGATACTGCCTGGGTCAGTCCATTCAAACTCATTAACTAAAGGGAAAACTGCTACAACCTGGATTTAAACTAAATGAAAATATATATTTACTGTCACATTGTGTAGGTATTGCATATCTCTCAACATTAGAACTTCAGATTGACACCCTGAAGAGCAGTATACATGTGGCATGCAGTGCACTGCGCGGCAAACAGTAGGTGTGGCTACATTATGCTAAATATTAGGCGTGGCTTAAAGGAGTATGTGTAAATAGGACCAGAGTCTACTCATAGTATACACTGCACACATGTGCCAGAGTCACAAAGTACCTCTTACTTATTGTGCTGAGTAAGCCTATCTTAAAGAAGAATTTAATTGAAACAAACTAAATGGCAACCAGCAACTGTTGACAGCAGTAAACACATCAGATCAGAAGTATGTAATGTGCAGCACAGTTTCCAGTGGTCAGGATTATGTAACATACAACATAATGTATAGAGTACAGCATTCAGGAGTCATAATACACCTTATGCTGCTTGTCAGTGGGCAGAAAAAATGCCCTGGATTCAGTGGTAGGAAAAAAATAACTCAGCTAGAGTAGGCAGTGCAAGGAGAAATGCCCTTAAATCAGTAGTCAGTGGGAGGGGAAAACTACCTTAAATCAGTGGTCAGTGGTAGGGGAAAATACCCTTGAATCAGTAGTCAGTAGGAGGAAAAAATGCCCCTGAATCGGTGGACAGTGGGAGGGGAAATGCCCTTAAATCAGTAGTCAGTGGGAGGGGAAAATTACCTTAAATCAGTAGTCAGTGGGAGGGGAAATGCCCTTAAATCAGTAGTCAGTAGGAGAAGAAAATGCCCTAGAATCGGTGGTCCAGTGGGAGGGGAAATCCCGTTAAATCAGTAGTCAGTGGGAGGGGAAAATGCCCTTAAATCAGTAGTCAGTGGGAGGGGAAAATGCCCTTAAATCAGTGGTCAGTGGGAGAGTAAAGCCCCTTAAATCAGTAGTCAGTAGTAGGAGAAAATGCCCCGATTCGGTGGTCAGTGGGAGTGGAAATGCCCTTAAATCAGTAGTCAGTGGGAGGGGAAATGCCCTTAAATCAGTAGTCAGTGGGAGGGGAAAATTACCTTAAATCAGTAGTCAGTGGGAGGGGAAATGCCCTTAAATCAGTGGGAAGGGAAATGCCCTTAAATCAGTAGTCAGTAGGAGGAGAAAATGCCCCCGAATCGGTGGTCAGCGGGAGGGGAAATGCCCTTAAATAAGTAGTCAGTGGGAGGGGAACATGCCCTTAAATCAGTAGTCAGTGGGAGGTGAAAATGGCCATATATCACTAGTCAGTGGGAGGGGAAAATTACCTTAAATTGGTGGTCAGTCGGAGGGGAAAATGCCCTTAAATCAGAAGTCAGTGGGAGGCCAAATGCCCTTAAATCAGTTGTCAGTGGGAGGGGAAAATATCCTTAAATCAGTAGTCAGTGGGAGGGGAAAATGGCCTTAAATCGGTGGTCAGTGAGAGGGGAAAATGCCTTTAATCCAGTGGTAAGTAGGAGGGGAAAATGCCCCTAAATCAGTGGTCTGGGAAAATACCCTTGAATCAGAGGTTTAGTAGGATGAAAGGTGGTCAGTAGGGGGACGAGGGGGAAGCACTGTAGGGAAGGGGAAATCCTGGTGTTTGGTAGTAATGTACCTTTTTAGTACCTTTTTTAGTCCACCACTCCCTCACGCTGCTGCTCTGACCTGCATGCACTGGTCTCAGCCTGCCCCCCCTTTCCAATTTGCCCCCACTCCACTCGATACCACTCGATACCTGATACCTTTCATCCCCAAGGGATATAAGCACTAACGATACTGAATAACAGGACTCTGCCTACATAATGACATCACGTAGGAGTCTGGGAGGCTATGCTAGAAAACAGCAGAAGTATTAAGCTGGCCATAAAAGACTTTTGTCCTGTTCCTGCTATTTTGGCCAAAATTTGAGCGATAGGTAGCCCTGTCAGCCCCATCCAGCTTTACAAAAGTCAACTGAACATTTTAAGGAGCCCAGTGGAAATCCATTGACCAAACAATGACTGCATCCTATTAGATACAGTCATTGTTTGGGTATTTAGACAGCTGTGGGTGCTGCGGCTGCCTGGTACAGGAACAGACAGTGCAGATTCCACCATCCCTGGTGTTTGGCGTAAATTGGGGGAAACCGATTGATTTCTCTCGCTCAGCTTGTGGGGCTGAATAAGACAAATTTAAAAGTGTATGGTTAGCCTTTGGCTCCATCACATATGAAGGTCATATCAAGTGGTGGACGGAGCTTGGGAGGCAGAATCCCGCTGCCCAATTATAGTAATGGGCCGAAGGACCTAATTAGGACATAACGTGATGATCCTGGGGTACATGGGACCCTGATATTTCTCTCAAACTGCAGGACAGTCCCACCAAATGTGGAAATATTAGGAGCTATGGGAATGTCATTGGAAGACAGACTCTCGTGAGGTGAACATGCAGATCAATACAGTGGCTGATGACTGCACTGACAGGATATTCTCCAAAGAAGACTGAACATGCTTTGTGCCAGTAAACAGGCTGTTCACTATATTATACATACTCTGTATGTCTCTCTTCACGATGCCAACCTAATGTCTCTTTGGACAGGTGACAACAGAACAAACTATACAGCTGTAGCTTACAGCCAGAGCAACACATCTAGCCTGTTCAAGCACAGATATAATGTGCTTTTGTGCTTCCTACACTGAATTTTGATACAGGCATTTTATCTTATTTCAAAAATGTCAGTTGTGTCCCTGATTTGGGCAAATAAGCAGGTAGATCTTGGTGAAGAATTCATAACATGCCTATCTTCGAAGCAACCACTTACTGGCACTATCTATTACGGCTGTCACTCCCAATGTGTTTGACTTTACCTGCAACACAAGCTTGCAGAAATATATGTAATAAAGAAAGGACGGGTAGAAAAAAATGTTTTGCAAAAAACTAAATTCAGCATTCTGAAACATCTTTTAAACGGAACCCTTCACCTGGAACTGGGCATACTGTGATCTATATACCATGCAGATGATACTCAAACGGATTACATTGCATGTGAACATCACCTAACGTCTGACCAGCCTGAGAGCTTCGGGCTATTCCTGTCAATCAGTCAAAAATAATTGTACATATAATATAAACCTACAGTAAGCATCGATAGACTGCTCCTGCACCAAAGCAAAAGGTCCTTTAATATAAAGTGTTGAACACATCTTTCCATTTCTTTGTCATATATAATACAAAGTTTGTGTGTGCTGTAGGAACACATGGTATCTACTATGTTTATACACAATTGCGCTGTACTGCTATGACAGATGGTGCTGGTGGTAATATTGAAGATACGACACAGTAAAAAAATTTGCAACACACTGGGGATATGACATTTAAAAAAAAAAAAAAACTGGCATCCCAATGCACAGGTTGTGCTGTGGCTTTGAGGCTGATTGACATAAAGCATTATTACTGAAACATGGCAAAGGCATGAGACATATTGCAAAGCACACAAGCGCACATTTGTTTCACTGTGACATGTTAGGTGGTCAAGATTACCGTGTCAAAAGTGGGCAGTCCTGCACACACAAGGCTCAATTCGTAAAAAAGCTTTACACAAAAATTTAAGCTCTTTATTTTCTGCCGTGTGACTGTTATTTCTCAATCTCATTGGACCATGTTAAAAATAACTGCAACATTAAAAAAAAAATAACCCCGATCCTGGTGTTTAAGCTCTGTGAATGAATCCAGCAGACTTATTATGTTCTCGTTAACACACCGTACGATGAGCGCCGTTAGTGTAAGCTCTTAATGTTGTGTTGCTGTCATCCCTCTGTGTGACTAAGTTACATTGCATGATGTTGTACTATATTTAGGAATGGATGTGCCATTGCAGTAAAGGTGCACAGGGGTTGTAAAATAATGACACAAATTATGCATTGCACTCAATGACAATTTTTCTTTTTCCCTATGCGTTAAGGTCTAACTGTGCTTTTTCGGAAATAAAAGGGATATTATTATTTTTCAGTCCATGCTTAGCAAGTGTGTGATGGAGCCACAAGCTCTAGATTGAACTGTTGTGGGGACGTGTTGATGCACATTGGTGCTGTATCGCCTGGGCGCACACAAGGCAGGGCTGTGTGCTGCCTTTTACAGGAAGTTATTGTGTCTTAAAATGTTTACAAGAGCCAGCGACAGGAAAAAATATGACTCTTAGCCTCCCCTTTAGCTTTATGCACTTTTAACGATGTAACATATCCACCCACCTACTGCCAGCAATATGCATAGAGCCATAAACATGTAGACAAAACAAGGGAAGCTGTTCCATCAGAGCTAAGCAATTGTATCCAACAGCTGTACAGTGGTTCATGCATGCACATGTGCTCCCATCTCTCAGCATAGACACCTCTTCTCTACACAGACAGCAGCACATCCAGGCAAAAGCTCCCTCCCTGCGTCTTCACACACATAGTCCTACCTTTTCAGTCCCCTTTTTCTCCTGTCTTGGGGATGGGGGGGGGGGAAATCCTACAGTTTAGGGGGCTGACGGACAGCGGTTGCTTTCGCAGGCAGCTTAGCGAGCTCCACTTTCCCATTCATTCCATGCTGCGCTCCAGTGTGTCAGAATGAGCATCCAGCTCTTGTCTGGGCAGGGGGACTGGGAAATATGTGCGAGACAGAAGGAGCCAGGATCCAATCCCCCCTCTCCTGTTCTCCCCTGCTGGAGACTCGGGGAATGCACAAGGAAAGGAGCAAGATATTAGACTTGCTTACTGCTCACTGAGCTGGGCTGGAGGAGGCCAATGAATCCTGGAGGGGTGGGGGATCTGATTCCCAGGAAATCTCTCAACTAGCACAAACTACCGGGATCAGCTGTGTGTAGCCCCCACCAGCCCTCACCCTTTAACTCTTCCATTCGCTTTAGTGTTGTCTTGAGTGTAGCGAGGATGCTTGGTAAGGAATCGTAAGAGCGGTGTGTGGCACAGCAGCATGCAGCTGGCCCCTGTGGAGAGGACTTGGTTAAGTGTTGCTTTTTTTTTTTTTGATCACATTAGGTGGGGGCAAATGCATTTTCAGTGTCCTCTTCCCCACCCAAAGCCAATTATTTTCTTTATGCAAAAACCCAGCGGCTACCGATATTCACTTACCAGTCGTAAGTGGTGACAATAGCACCATGCAAGATGAGGTTTAAGAAGATGACAGGGAATGATGTAACTAGTTAGGATAGCTGGCAAATCTGGCAAATATATTTTTCTTTGTTTTTTTATTTTAAAGGCTGTGCTACATTATATATTAACTTTAGGGTGGACCTGTGCCAGGGAAGACAAAGTTACAGGTGGTTTTATAGGAGGAACAATAAGTATCCTGTAATTACCTCTCCCACATTTCTCTACTACCCTGATCCTTTGGTAGAGCCCCCCGCACCCCTCCCCAAAAAAAAACAAACAACTTTGTAAAGGTGTCCATACGCTAGTAGATTTTCAAAACAACTTTTGTACAAAAGATCTTTCGTTCAACTTTATATTAGTTGATGAGGGCAGATCGATCATCAAAAATAGTCGAAGGAGCAGGATGGAAAATGTTTCTCCAACGAACGAAATTCTAACAGTGAATGTGGTTTTCGTTCAGGAAACTCCATTCATTCCAAAACCGAATGTTAAAATAAAACACAATTTAATTTGACATTTGTCAAGTCTCTGATGCCATTATTGGGTGGTAAAGAAAGATCTTTCGTTCAGAAATCTACTAGTGTATGGCCAGCTTAAGTTGTAACTTAATATCTGGAAAAAGAAAAAACCCTATTTAGGGCTAAAACGGGCACACATAACAATCTTTTCTATTTCCCAACACCTGTGTAGTGGGACAATATAGGACCTGGCTAATTGGATAAAAAACTGAATAGTCAAGGTAGGTCCTCATATTTTCGGTAAATCCAAAGAAAATTGTACAGCGAGGATGTAACGTGTATGTAGGTGTCACCCGTTCTCCAGTAGCCAGATGTACCGAGTATTTCTCTGTACTCCATTGGATGCAAGACCCTGGTATAAGTGAACAAGTCCCTTTCAAAAAGTGATAACTCTGTTAAAAGTGGAGAATGCTGAAATAAGTCACCCGCCTGACTTCTTATATTCCTTGAGGGTACCAGTGGGGAGATCTACCTGCCGTAGTTCCTAAATCTGATCTCACCTATTATAGGTTCACCACATATGTTACAATCTGACCGTACAATCTCCTTTTAGATTTACCAAAATGATGGGGGTTATTAACAAAGCTGCCAAAAGGCACCCAAGTGAACAACCGAGCCGTAGTGAAGTGAGCCAAACAACGTTCGGCTATTCATTACGGCTTAGTACGGCTGACTTCAGCCGTACATCGGCTACACTTTGGTCAGCACAACATGCTCTGCATGTTCGGCTGAGCCGAAGTACAGAAGGACTTCGACTCAGCCGATCCAACATCCGGATCGGCTGAGCCGAAGCTACGGCAGCTCACACAGTGGGGCGGAACGGCATAGGGGCCGAACGGCATAGGAGCCGAACGGCAGTGAGTGAATAGCCGAATGCCGCCGAGCTGGCCGAAACTACGGCTGGATCCTTTGGCTCCTCTGTGAATAACCCCCTATGTAACATGAAGACCTACCTACACTATCCATTCTATTTGTATTTGATCCTGCAGGACCTACATACTACTACTACTACTTAGGTGTTAATAGATCTACAAGAAATTGTATGTTCAGATTGTTACATGTATGATGAGCTGTAGAGTTCTTGGAATTCCCATTCACCTTTAATTTTGTTAGGCTGGCAACAGTCCTGGCAGGTGTGGAGACCTGGTTATGGAAGCACAGAGATCATGCTGCTGGGGTCTCTGAGAGATGTAGGAAGCTTTTAGATAAAATAACCCTCTAGCATGTAGCAAAAACTGAAATGCCAGTTTCAGGTGGACTCATTAAACAGACCCTGTTACACAAGTAAAAAAGTCCTGAGCAAAGCACGTACCTGTAAAGAGGAGACAAAATATTGACCTCTCCTGCTGCTGAACATGACCTTTGGGTAGAAAGCGTCCCCCCAGGTGGAAAACTGGGAAACCAACACTTTCAGAAATTTCGATTTTCTGGGTCCCCTGTGGCTCTCACTGGTTCCTTCTGTTGACTTTTACATCAAGGTTGTGTCCTGTAGCCTAAGACAGCCAAGAACAGATCCAGGAACTATGATCCTGCAACTGAAGCTGTAAGGTCCCATTTCTGTGGTGCGTTAATGTATATGCATTAACACATGTTAACATGCCTTGCATTAAAGATGCTCATTGAAAAGACTGGGCTGCCAACATCCCAAATATAGTACATGCCACAAGGTTTTTTACACGTCGTACTACAGTGCATTGCCAATGCGTGGCAGTACACTGCATTGCTTGTGCGTTGCCTTAATGCACTGGAATGCTATGCATATTGAATGTCATTGTACTTAGTCAATGCATGTAATGTGTGTTGCCTAGCGTCATTACATGTAACACAATTTATAGATGCAAAATTGCCCATAGCCCCTCGATGGCAGCCTCACACTATATTGCCAAAAGTATTGGGACGCCTACCTTTACACGCACATGAACTTTAATGGCATGCCAGTCTCAGTTCGTAGGGTTCAATATTGAGTTGGCCCACCCTTTGCCGCTATAACAGCTTCCACTCTTCTGGGAAGGCGTCCACAAGGTTTAGGAGTGTCTATGGGAATGTTTGACCATTCTTCCAGAAGCACATTTGTGAGGTCAGGTACTGATGTCGGAGGAGAAGGCCTGGCTCGCAGTCTCCGCTCTAATTCATCCCAAAGGTGTTCTATCGGGTTGAGGTCAGGACTCTGTGCAGGCCAATCAAGTTCCTCCACCCCAAACTCGCTCATCCATGTCTTTATGGACCTTGCTTTCTGCACTGGATCGCAGTCATGTTGGAACAAGAAGGGGCCATCCCCCAAACTGTTCCCACAAAGTTGGGAGCATGAAATTGTCCAAAATGTCTTGGTGTGCTGATGCCTTAAGAGTTCCCTTCACTGGAACTAAGAGGCCAAGCCCAACCCCTGAAAAATAACCCCACACCATAATCCCCCCTCCACCAAACTTTACACTTGGCACAATGCAGTCAGGCAAGTACCGTTCTACTGGCAACTACCAAACCCAGACATGTCCCTTGGATTGCCAGACA